AATAAATAAATATTTTAGGAGTTCAGAGATTATTTCAGGAGTATTCATTGTTTAAGGAGGTAGCTTACAAAAAAACGAGACTTGCAAGAAAGGTGATTGCAAGTGGAAAAACAGATTCTTCCTTCAAAACTGATGCATCCCAGCGGTATTATAGGCTTGGAAGACAATCCTGAGAATTTTGCACATTGGTAGTGTTCACTGATAGCAGCCGTTTGAAAAATCAGGTGTTCTGTGTTTGGTTGTGATTTTTGAAGGACGAATTATGGCAGAAAGAAGTATCGATTTGGAGAGTAAAACAGCAACAATCAGCTGAACAGCTGGCGATATTAAAAGCTATGAACCTCTACTGCACAAAGAACAAAATTTTAGGAAATGTTGTCGAAAAAAGTTATAATCAGTACAGACAGTCAGGTTGCACTACATTGCATAAAAATGATTACTTTCATGCCATTGGTGAGGGTGAGACAAATTTGGGCTGTCTTGTATTCAATTCACCATCTCAAGTTTCAAATTGCTCGGGTTAGAGCACATGTAGGATATTTTTGTAACGAAAGAGCGCACATAGGATAAAAACGTTCCAAAATACTACTCAGCAGCATCCAGCAGTTTGAATAAAAGAAGATTTGACCCCGAGACTCTTTTGAAATGGGAATATCTACGGGCATCTTTCCCAAAAGAAGACTATACAAAAGACTTCTTCCCAAATATTATGCGCCGAAATTTACCCACCATTTATGTCACCTATAAGACAACCAGGTCATATCCGGTCATGGAAAGGATATACCAGAACTCCACAAGTTTAATATCATACAAAGTAATGTTGACCCTTGTCACAACACCTCTGCACAAAATTGGGACCACGTACTGGAACCACCAATATTCGAAAGCGAGAGAAGCGAGTTGGTGAAATTCTTGGTGTCGATCTCTCTCACTATTCTGTTGTTTTCCTTCTCTCTCATTCTCTCTCTCTCTCTCTCTCTCTCTCTATCTATCTATCTATTTATCTATCTATCTATCTTTATATCTACTTATCTATCTATTTATCTATTTACCTGTGTATCTCCCTTTCTATATGTCTGTGAATTGATCTCTGTATATAACTCTCTCTCCTATCTTCTCTCTCTCTCTCTCTCTCCCTCCCTCCCGGTCCCCCTCATGCTCTATCTATCTGTCTATTTAGTTATCTGCCTATCTATCTATCTGTCCGTCAATCTCTCTCTCTCTCTCTCTCTCTCTCTCGCTCTATCTATCTATCTATCTATTTATCTATCTATATCTATCTATCTATCTATGTAGTTATCTGCCTATCTATCTATCTACCTGTCCGTCAATCCCTCTCACTCACTCTCTCTCTCTATCTATCTATCTCTATCTGTCTATCTGTATCTCTATAAATATCTATCTATGTAGTTATCTATCTATCTACCTGTCTGTCAATCCCTCCCTCTCTCACTCTCTCTCTCTCTCTCTCTCTCTCTCTCTCTCTCTCTCTTTCTCTACCTATCTATCTGTCTATCTCCCATCCAATTTCTATATATCTGTTTATCTCTCTCTCTATCTATCTGTCTGTGAATCTATCTCTATTTCTCTCTCTCCCTCCTTACTATTCACTTTTCTTACTTTATTATTATTTAGAGTAGCTGTCTGTTTCTATCAGTCTATTTCTGCCTCTCTTATTTCTTACTCTTTTAATGTCTTCCTCTAGTTTATTTTCCTGTCTGTTTTTTCCTATTTACTCTCCCTCTCTCTTTTCTCCCTCACTCTTTTTTATTGTTTTTCTCTTTCTTTCTCAGTTTCACTCACTCTCTCCTTCTCTCTCTCTCTCTCTCTCTCTCTCTCTCTCTCTCTCTTTTCCTTTTTTTGTATCTATACGCACCACATATTAAAATGAAGTATATTACTTAGATATCGATTAACGGTCACTAATCTCTATATATTATTTAGAGTTGATTTTAAATTATTCTTTTATTTCTCATTTTATAAAAAAGTACGTATTAAATTTTTAACATTTGTCTTTACTGTGTTGGTTAAAAGAGATAAATTTGTTTGTGCTGATGATTATAGATTTTGTTTAATCTTCGGATTAAGGATTTAACCATTTGGAATTTCTCCATATTTTTTATTTTATCAAACAGATGTACCAGTATTTAATTTTTTTTTTCACATCAGTACACTACACTTGATGATTTCCCAAAGAATCCTTTGACATCATTGATTTTTTAACTTTTTAGAAGATAATAATCCTAATTTTGTAAGCGAATAACTTGAATGTATCGGGGGATAAATAAACCGCCGGCGTCCGTCAGTCGTAAATTCCTAACGAAGCGTTAAAAAGTAAATCTTTTATTACTCCATAAAGCCTGAGTTTATAATTCAAGGTGGGCAGTAAAACAGCAGTCGTGAAGCGGAAGTCCTATCGAGCGGAAATGATGTAGGAAGGGTCGAGTTAAACATGCGGCGGCGAGGGTCGGGGGTGAAAAGGGGTTGTTATAGATTTTTCAATATGAACCCCGCCAAGAGAGAGAGAGAGAGAGAGAGAGAGAGAGAGAGAGAGAGAGAGAGGAACACGCGACCGACACTCGGGAAATAATTACTAAAGTGGTTTCTTCCTAATCACTTAACACTTGTTTCATGCAGACGTCTGGATTTAGATGTTTGGGACAATTCGCCCACTACAATCCCTAACGATAAACTTCTGCATTTTATTTCCATTTTTTCTGATCTTAATAAGGGTGAGAAGGGATGGCTAGGTTAGGCCGCGTGGAAGACAAGAGACTAGTCACTACTCAATAATAACAAAGGGAAAAATGATTATTACGAGATCGTGAGATACGGTTTTGTGTGGCTTAGGTTTTAGAAAAACATTTCTTTATCGTGCCAACGTTTCGATCTTTAATGAGATCATCTTCAGGGCCTGGGATTTACAAACATTGTTTACATTTAACAAATACATCTAGAATGTGGAAAAAAGTGAATTTATACAATGCAAAATATATTTTTTTATTTTCAATCTAAGTATTTCTACGTTTCGATCTTTATTGAGATCATCTTCAGGGCCGGGGATTTATAAATACTGTTAGAATTTTACAAATACATTTAGGATGAGGTAAAAATGAAATTATACAATGCTATAAAATTTTAGATAAAAAAAAATATTTATAAATGCCAGAAAATTTTAGATTAAAAAAATGAATTTACACAGTTTAAGAATTTTATATTAATAAATGAATTTTTACAATGCTAGAAAATTTTAGATTAAAAAAGTGAATTTGCACAATGCTTAAGAATTTTATATTAAAAAAATGAATTTATACAATGCTAGAGAATTTTACATTAAAAATAATGAATTTATACAATGCTTAAGAATTTTATTTAAAAAAATGAATTTATACAATGCTAGAAAATTTTACATTAAAAAAATAAATTTATACAATGCTAGAAAATGTTAGATAAAAAAATGTATTTATAAAGTGCTAGAAAATTTTAGATAAAAAGGTATTTATACAATGCTAGAAAGTTTTAGATAAAAAAAAAATGAATTTATACAATGCAAAATATATTTTTTTATATTCAATCAAAGTATTTCTACGTTTCGATCTTGAGGGCCGGGGATTTATAAATACTGTTGAATTTTACAAATACATGTAGGATGTGGTAAAAAATAAAATTATACAATGCTTAAGAATTTTATATTAAAAAAATGAATTTTTACAATGCTAGAAAATTTTAGATTAAAAAAGTGAATTTATACAATGCTTAAGAATTTTATATTAAAAAAATGAATTTATACAATGCTAGAAAATTTTAGATAAAAAATGTATTTATACAATGCTAGAAAATTTTTTGGATTAAAAAAATGAATTTACAAATGCTAGAAACTTATAGATTCAATCAAAGTATTTGTACTCATTTTTAATTTTCTAGCATTGTACAAAATTCATTTTTTTAAATCTAAAATTTTGTACCATAGTATAAATTCATTTTCTTTCACCTCCTTCATGTATTTGTAAAATTTAAACAATGTTTATAAATCCTAGGCCCTGAAGATGATCTCAATAAAGATCGAAACGTTTGCACGATAAAAAAAAATATTTGTCTGAAACCTACATCACACCACACATATCTAAAAGGGAAAAATCTCTAATAAGTTTTTGGATAAAAAAGAAAGATGGAAACTTCATTGAAGGAACTAGCGTCATATTTTGTAAATAAAGGCATTTAATGGATTTTCATTTAAATTATGCCATCTTGTAAAAGAAAGAATTCGTAATGCAATTGTAATCATAAACCTGTAATTGTGAAGGTGAAGGAGGTATGGAAAAATTCCCTTTCCGCAGGGCAACCATAAAAAGGAAATTGACTCACGTACTCATAACCTCGTTTTGAGTTTTCATGCCGAATTTATATATTTCCTCGTCGTTATTAATTAATAATATAACTTAATTATCCGAGCTTTCACCGGGAGCACATGTGTCCTATTCATGATAACATTTCATAAATCAACATTTATCGATCCGCCAAAGCCGCCACAGGCCTATTAACTTTATGCTTTCTCTAATTGGTTCCTCTTGATGAATAATATGATATTCCGTCAGAGTTCAGTGAGAAAATGTAAAAAATTCTTCCCGATGGGGGCCATGACTTTAAAAATTTTTTACGGTTGGTATCATTAGATTGACGATAATTTCAAAAATTGTTTTGCTAATTTAAGAAATATAACTTTGTTGGTTTTTTTACAGTGTTTTGTATTTGAGTTCTTTTTATATTTTGTTAATAGGAGTAGAGAATATCGTAAATTTTTTTGTTGATACACGATGATCCTTATTTCTGAGGTTCTTTCCGCCATTTATATTCAAACTGGTACAAGGCTTAAAGTTTTCATTACGAATACGCCTTAAACCTTTGCCTGGTTTTTTTCTATTCGATGTGTCTTTTCATAAATTTGTATTTTTTTCTCTCCAATTTTCCACATTTTCATGCCTTCCGCGTTATGGTTTCAGACACGGATACTGGAGGATGCGATGGCCTGCAACACCTCTTGGTCACAGAGACACAATGTACGTTACCACAATTAATACTGCCTATTATTCCTTTGGATTAAGTAAATAAATCCTTAACCGCTTGTCGAAACATGTATTGTTTACAAAAATTAATCGTAAGAAGGTTATAATTTTATTTTAAAAAATTTTTAAAAAAACTAGTATTGATTTATATAACATTAGAATCTATCAAAACATGTTACGAATAGAAAGTGTTGCATGCAGAAGGATTTCTTTTTGTATTTTCTTAATTTTTCAGATATTAGTTAGCTGTACCGAGCAAAACAACTTAATTATACATGACAACCCTACTGGACACACTGCAAACGAGCTTTAACAAGGGAAAAAGAAACAAAAACTCATAAATATTCAAAAGAGTTATCTTTTTCATCGTTCTGCCGTTTTCGCCGGCCCGCCGTGCAGGGGCCATGCCGTTTTGTTTTTGCGCGAGGCTCGGGTTTATAAATTTTTTAAAATGTTGATTATTAATTTATTAAAGAGGAAGCGTAAGGAGGGAGGAGGGTGGCTGGAGGGTCCGTTTTCCTTGGGGTTGTTTTATTAAATCAGGCCCTCCGACCTTGCACGCCTACCCGGGCCACCCTTAGAATAGAGTAATGTTTTTTCCCAACTGTTTCGAATACTGCTATGTCACCATTTTTTTAAATATTAATCATTCCTGCTTCGTTAATTAATTTTTTAAGATTTATCAATATAATTTAATATTTAATAATTCAAGCTAAATATGCCCATTTTGTTTGTTCGATTAAACTTCTTATTTTTTCCTTTTCAAGCTTGTTTCTTTTATTAGAATATTTGTTACATTTATATAGACTGCTTGTTTCATAAGTGCATAAATTCTAAAAAAATCTAAAATGTACATAGGCCACTATTCAATTCTTACCAATATCTTCTCATGAAGTGATGCAAGTTCTGCTTCTTTTAAACCGACAATGAAAATAAAAAATTAGCATAGTGATTACGATTTATCACTCTATCGTCATCACGTTGACATCAAACTAAAAGATCATTATTTTCTTTTCACAACAATAATGGAGTAGTGTGGAAGGTGTCGAGAATAACCGACTGCTTGAGAGAAATGACGCATTTTTCTGACTGCCCTTCAATTGTAAATGGTCCTTTTTGAAAAATTACCAATTGAACTTAACCATTGTAGATTGTGATATTACCGTTCAAATAATCAAGAAAATTTTCACCATTGTTCTTTATATTCACTAATTTCGTGGTCCGCTTGACCAATTAATATATTACAATTAATTAAGGTTTTTAGTTGCGATAAAAAAGTCAATGACACGAGCGGGATTCGAACCCACGATCTTCGATTTGATACGCCGCTGCTCTACCACTTGAGCTATCGTGACCTCGATCCACTCGGACACCAACTTCCCATCTCAACCCCACTTTTATCTCAACTAAAAACCTTAATTAATTGTTCTTTATTTTGACTACGGCTTTTGTTTATATTTACTATCAGATGAGTATATAGAACCAGAAAGACAAAATCAAAAAGAAACGTTGGAAATTGAACATCAACAAATCTTTTTAAATATTGATTTTTTGTCTATCTGTGTCGAGTATAAGGGATAAAAATACCAAGAGCACCTTGGGGTATCGGACCATGACTTAATAATCTGATATTTGATCGCTGCATTTTTATTTCATCTTGTCTTTTATTTTAAGCATAGTCTTTGTTTAAATCTTACAATAGTGGTGGATAGTTACAAAATTACTACTGGTTGGTAGTCGAACCTTGAACTCTGTCTAATGTGTAATTTTAGGCATTGCTACATTTTATTTTATTCTATTGATGTCTCACTATAAGTTTTGTGTATAAGGACTCAAAAACTGGAAGATATTTAATCCTTTGGTTTATTTATTTTAATTTGTTATTCTTGTTTCTTATTTTCACTAGTCTTTTCTAATTCCGGACTACAATGTGCAACAGGTCTCAAAGAAATTCAAGAAATTTGAAATTTGGGTCAATTTAATCAAACTTTTTTATCCTTGCTTCTAATTCAAATAATTAAGGTTTTTAGTTGAGATAAAAAAGTCAATGTCACGAGCGGGATTCGAACCCAGGATCATGTGGTAGAGAAACATCGTGACTTCGATCCACTCGGACACTTTTTTACCTCAACTAAAAACCTTAATTAATTGAAAGATATTAATTGGTCAAGCGGACCACGAAAATTAGTGAATTTAACTTGTTTCTAATTTTGACTAGACTTCACTGATGTCAAATTATAAGTATATGGATTCTAAAATTTCAAGATATTTGAACCGTTGCACTATTTTTAATTCTGTATCTATCTTTTTTATTTTGACCATGGTCTTACTTCATGTAAAACAACAGGTTTGGTGTAAAATGACTCAAAAATTAAAAAAAAACTTGAACTTTCGCCCAACATTCAATTTTTTATCCTTGTTTTTTAAAATTCTGACTACAGTCTTTATTTATGTCAATCTGTACGCATACAACTTTAAGATGCATAAAATTTACAATTGTTTATTTTTGTATCCCTGTTTCTTTTTTTTTTGATTGTCTTTATCATCATGGCAAACAACGACGTATTGTATAACAATCAAAAAAATTTCTAGTTAAACCATTGATTAATTTATTTTTATTCTTGTTTCTTTTGTGGCTAATATCTTTATTCTTCCCAAACTACAGTTTATGTGTAAAATGACACATGGTTAAAACCGTGTTCACTGGAACATCGTTCATAATTTGAACCAAGTTGAGAGAAGGGAGCGTTGCATCATCTGTAAGAGACCACCGTTCGACTGATCCCAGTTCAACCACTAGTTAGTAGGACTTATTGTAGTCACTTTCTACGGTTATAACTAGTGATAGTGTTCATTCATTGTTTACTTGGTTGTTGTACCACTTTCCGCAGACTTTTGCTTAGTATTTTTTTCCCTTATTTTTTTCCTCGAATATGTCTGAGAAATTTTGTGATGATATCCTGAATCTTTTAAAGAATCCATTATGGTCTCATTCGTGAAAATGGTCTTGTTCGTTATAAAACACCTTACTTTGGTCATCTACCAATATATGTACCAACCAATTCAAGGAAATCTTTGTCGTCTGTTGTTCATCTACATTTATTTGCAAAAGTTCATTTATTAGATTACTCGAGTATCCATCTTTTACCGAAAAGAAATACCGTTAAGGCACATTGTTATGATTTAAGTTTTGTAGTTCAGATTTAGTTCAACTACTTTTTGCTTGTAATATAGTTAAAAAAACTATAAGCTTCAATTAGATTTGAAGTTGATGCTATAATTATTAGAATTTTATCGTAACTATTATTTAACTTTTGAATTGCCTGATTTATTACTGGAAAATCAAAATGTTTGCCTTTTGCCTCGGATTACCAGGCAATCCTAGCGTCTTTGAACAAAAGTTGTTTACATTTAGGATAACTATATAGAATTTGAGATAGATTATTTATGGAATATTATTTTACAATAGGTAATTTACAGAATTTTATCTTAATCATTAATTCATTTGGAATACACATACATCAGAAATACACACGGGTAAAATTTTGTCAAAGAAATAGAAATTACCTATTGCAAAATAAGGTCTTTGGCACAAAATTTATGATTTTATGAACCTCTCGATCTAATGATGGCACTACTTGATGAGTATAAATAGATATACGATATAAAATGCGTTTTCTGGCGCAAAAGAAAAACAAATTTCCGGGCTTCTAATTCCTGATTAACAAAATTAAAACGATTAGAACATTCTATAAAAAATACATCAAAAGTTAATAGATTTGTATTGAAAAAACAAAAACATCGAAAGTTGAATCGTGAGAACACGCTTTTAACAACATATAGGTCATATTATTATGAAATGGACGTCATTTATCTCTGATCTCCGTTTAACCCAGGCCCGACGGCCGTTCAGATTTGAACCAGGATCATCATTTGAACGCGGATCAAGACAAATTGAAAAACGGCAAGTTTTGAGTTGAACTCGGTTTAGTACAGAATTAAATTTAAACCAAGTTAGTGCAACATACAATACATTTGAAATTTTGCTCAGTTTTTTTATTATTATTTATTTTTTTATATTTTTTTTTTACTTTAGCCTTTATTCATGGCAAACTTCAGGCTTCATATATTATAATTTCAAACAATTTGAACTTTTTTCAATTTAAATTTTTTTTTGCCATTTTTATTTTAACTAGTCTTCATTCACGAACCACAGGTTTCGTGTATAAATTAACATCGTTTAATCATAGATCATTTTTTTAAATGCTTGTTTCTTGTTTTGACAGTCGTCATTATTCATATCAAGCAATATGTTTCGTGGCCCTGCATTCGAAACCGACATACCTACAAATGGGCTTTTTTTCAAAAACACCGTCACCCTAAGTTTTATATGACCTCTGCTGTTGCGAACCCTCGTAAAAGAAAAAAATATATTTCAACTATTACTTTCATTTTTGGTTTTTTCAACCTAGAGTCTTATATTCCCTTTTATAGGGAGCAAATTTCCAAAACCGTTTATAATGTGATATTTTGAAAATAGGTCTATTTTTTCCTTTCTATGTGTGTTGTGTAAGGAATTAAAAATTAATTTTTTTTTATGGACGATGTTAGGAATCGAACTCACGTCATGTTACGACCTGAGAAACTAACACAATGAACAAATCGTCCATCGCGGTGCCCTAACAATTTTTTATTTGAGTAAATGTTGATGTATACATTTTGTACATGCACAATAAACGTGTCGAATGAGAGATTTGAAGGCATTTTCCCTCCGAAGAAAAATGTACAAGGGGATTAACTGAAATATCCTGTAGTCGGTTTCTGACCGCCTAATGGGGATAAAAATGGATGCCGGGCGGTAAAAGAGAAGGAAAAGTCCCCCCAGTCAAAATATATTAAAATCCCCATTAGGAGTGCAGCCCTTCCGGAGTTTAAAAACAATTTGCCTCTCCTGTAACACTCAAGGGGTGGGTTGCAATAATCACATCAACGGC